TCGAGAATTATTTGAGTCAATTTATAAAAGGCATGAAATCAAAATTTCATTGTGAAAAAAAAAAAAAAATTATTGTGGTGTCTTTTGAATTAGTTAGGTGTATACCATGTATGTATTTTCTTGTTGCATAGCACGTGCATCAGTGCATGACGAATAAAGGAGCGGTTAGTCAACTTAATTAATAGAACATTAGCTAAGCAACTAAAAGAGAGACATAGTAACTAAAAGAGAGACATAGCAACTAAAAAACAGCAACAGATACTGTGTTATTTGCAATCGAGTCCAATGGTGATGAAAAGTATATAACTACCCTTTTTTTACGTTTTGAAGATATGCAAGTGCTATTTTTATAATTATCCAACTATTTTTTTTATATATATAAATTTTCACATTTTAAAAAATTATTCCTTTTTGATCAAAAAAAAGAAAAGAAAAGATTATTCCGGACATATTAAACATATAATTAGAAATATGAAACGTAATTTGTCTAATAAAACAAAATTTGTAACGTTTTACACATGATGATTGTATAGCGAAAACTCTATCCAGTTCAAGTAGTTCCGGTAAATAATATGTCATTGATAAGAGGTCTCTTTTATTAGAGCCAAAGCCAAAGATAATGCTAGCAAACTCATTAACCCATGTGATTAGGGTTCTTCCAACAATGGTTTCATGTATATATATACATCCATGTTCTCACATCTATGAATGTAACTTTGAGAGTTTATATTTGATTTTGGTGACAAGATAAAGTTTTTTCTTTTCTCTTTTATATTTGCATTTGAATAAAACTCATTGATGATCTACTTAGATTTTTGTCTTTGTTTTCAATCACAATAAAGCTTTTTGAGCTTCAATCTATCTTGTTTTGGTTTTGCTTTTTCATCTTTAGTGTGGAGTTATTAGGCTTATACAATGACATTTTTTTATAGCAGAGGTCAATCAGTTTTGTAATGCCAAAAGCTGACATATCAGTCAAGCCCAACTCACTTTTCTCATGTGTGTGTGTGTTTTTTTTTTGTTTTCAAATTGCTTTTTTGCATGTTGGAATCAATCTATACTTATAAATGAGAAGTCGCAAATCCTATGTGGCGACTCCAAAGGGAGTTTAAGACTTGACTTGCCGATATTACCCTTAATGAATCGATGTATTACTCTCTACGGTATAGCCACTGATTTCGTTTCTAGATATTCTGTTGGGCTTTGTTAAAAATTGTTAGTATCTAGACCCATACATATTAATATCGAGCACGCTCTTCTTGATATGATCGAATTAACATGGCAATCTTCCATATTTATCTTATCACAATTAAGAAATATTATATTTTAATCTTTGGTAATTATCATAATATATGTGTAGCCCTAATATTTTTGTATATACTTATAAATGAGAAGTCGCAAATCCTATGTGGCGACTCCAAAGGGAGTTTAAGACTTGACTTGCCGATATTACCCTTAATGAATCGATCTATTACTATCTACGGTATAGCCACTGATTTCGTTTCTAGATATTCTGTTGGGCTTTGTTAAAAATTGTTAGTATCTAGGCCCATACATATTAATATCGAGCACGCTCTTCTTGATATGATCGAATTAACATGGCAATCTTCCAMATTTATCTTATCACAATTAAGAAATATTATATTTTAATCTTTGGTAATTATCATAATATATGTGTAGCRTTAATATATGATCGACTTAATATGACAATCTTCCATATTTATCTTATCATCATAAGAAAATAATATTTGGTAATTATCATAATATATATGTAGCCCTAATATTTTTGTATATATCTAGAGATGTGTTCAATGGCTTCATAATATTTTTAACCTTTGTGTCGTTATAATCTTTTGTAGGTTTAGTATTATGTTATCTTGTGTTTAGTCTTTTTTTTTCTTACGTTTTTGCTATTGATCACGTTTTTACTAATGATTTGTTTGTTGTTGTTTCTTTTTTTCTTATTTGTATGTTCATCTCATAATTTAGGTACCTACTGTAATTTTTCATAGATCAATTCTCTATTATTCAAGATATATATACTATATAATATTCGATAGCTTCACTGAATTGATGAACATGTATGTGCACAACTTATTCG